CCTGGGTTTAGGTAATTTTCTCATTAAAAAATCAACACAAATTAATTGGTTCAGTTTGTTTTTGCAGTCCAAATGACCACTTCCACTAACTAGACATCAATTGATTTTCAGATAAAAAAGTGAAAGCACGATCCTGAAAAAGTCACGGAAAAATATTTGTTTTCTCCGTTAATGATGTTCAGAACATGATTGAACTTTTAGCAAATTTTATATGGCTCATTAAGGCATTGAACTTGCACATCAGTACTTGTCTATATTCCTTGTTTTTGAGTAACTATAGACGTTAAACTCCATTAAAGGAATGAAAAAGTCAAATTGAGCGCTCGTTTGACCCCATTATTTCATATTATAATGAGAGGGACAATAATTTTTTTGACAATGTAGTTAAAAAAGAAGGAAATTTTTTTGAGTTTACGCGAAATATTATTTTATTGAAAAATGTGTGATTGATTAGAAAATAGAGCAAAATGAATTATAATTTAATGGGAAATAATAAGGGTCAAATGATGGGCTTAATATAGATAATTAATTGAGGAAAAATAGAAAAAGTTGGAGAGACTATTTTGCCATCGTTAAGAATCATTATTGTACATAATTATTAGGGTTGAACAAAAATCTTAAATTGAATCGAATCTTACCGAACCGAACTGATTTAGTTCAGCTCAATTCTTCTTAGTTAAATACCAGAACAAATATCAGAATCGAGAATTGACGGGTTTGATTCAGCCTTTGGTTCTAGACTAAGAATTGAATAATCGAAACTTCCTAATTTTTTAATTCTTTTTTATACTAAATAAGTCAAAATTTTTTAATTTTTTCTAAATAAATTTGATAACTAATTAATTGAGCTAAAAAATATAATTTTTTTTTGTTTCATTTGCCAACTAATTAATTGAGCCTAAAATATCATTTTTCTGTTTTCAGTCAAAGCCCAATTTTGTGATTCAAATTTCAAATAATTAAAATTAAGTGACCTAAGGTTTTCTTAATTATTCTCTCGTTTCTCAAATAATCGAAGCTCGGCGGTTTCACCTCTTCATCTTGACATTTTTCTGCTCTATTCATTGAATTTTTTCCACTTTGATCAAGGTAATTTTTTGCAAAGTCTAGAGACCCGATTGCAATCTTCCCTTTTCATTTAATTATCTTACAAAATGACTTCGGTAACCTGAGTTTTCCTACTTTTTTTAATTAAGGTCGAGAAGCAATGTACACAATGCTTTGATCATCGTTGCCTTCACGACATTTCCGGATCAAATTTTGTCTCTTCCATTGCGTTGTCAACTTATTTTCCGCTTCTTATCCCAAATTTGCTTGGTAAATGTTATGTCATCAGCAAAACTAGATTTATCTCCGTAAAATTTAAGATAGATCAATGTTAGATGTACATCGGGGTGTACATCACGGTGTACACCCCCCTCACATGGGTAAGGG